CAAAGCCTGTAGAATTTCTCATCGAAACAACTTAAAAAAATTACAAGAAAGTCTGGCTCCTTGGAAGAATAAAAAGAAATTAGACGTGGGCTTAAACTTTTGCACAGTATCTCTCTCCAAACACACGCACACATGTATACATACATAAATAAAGAGTGAAAGAGCCAAAGACACTTTAGTACTGACAATAATATTAATAACTGTGCTATATACTTAAGCTTCACAAGCGTCCTAACATTCAATCAAGTACAAAAAGCAATGTTATCCGATATCTGGGTTGTGTTTATAGGAATTTGGCATCTGCAACAGCCGAGCACAGATCACAGCGATAAACAGAGTTGGAGCATCAGGAACTCACACGAGGGAAGACGATGCTGTATTGTGTAACAGCTAATAACTGTTTTGCTCAGACAAATCAAATAATATTCTTTAAATTTGCTATGGATGAACCCCAAAGGTAATTGTTATTCTTGAAAAGGGAAACATAAGACTCTGCGCAGCACTAACAGGAACTGCAGCACATCGAGCGATTTTGTTTGAAAGCCATAGCAAAGAGTCGAATCCACCCATGAGAATCCCAACTGCTCTGTGTAAGTAGATGTTGATATTAACAGCAAAGCCTCAGAGAAAGAGCTCCGTGGCAGGGCCTTACTGAAGCATTCACAAGCAGATGTGCTTTTGAACAAAGGGCTGACAATCAAGCAGTAATGTGTGTGATGCTATAAAGGCTGACACATGAGCACAGGGGTGATCCTCACAGGCTAGCTGTACTGCTGGCTGACTGCTGTATAACCAAGCATTGGATGGCATATCAATAGCATGGACACTACAGTAGAGGAATCACAAGTTCAACCTGGTGGAGTTTAATGAAGTTGTCCAAGAGCCTGTTTTAGACATTTTTCAGATCCAACAGTGTATTTCACTACCTCCACTCTGTCCTACCCACCTGCTCTTGGCACTCTTCCAAGAGACCTCTTACTGTATGAAAACTAAAGCTGGTAGGATTTTTTTTCTTACTGCCATCTACATCTCACTGCTCCTGTACTGTAAACCAACCAGAGCACTTAAGAATCCTTGAGCAAAACAATATCAGTCTTCAAACACCAAAGTGTCTGACCTCCATCTAAATGAGTTCATTCTGTCAATTCACCCAATGTTTGCCTTAGTGCAACAGATATTAAATTGCACATGCACACACACACACACACACACACACACACACACACACACACACACACACATATATATGTATATGTATAGCACAAATTGTCACTTGTGTACTTCTTTTGCTAAATGTTTCAAAGTCAAGTGTTATTGGTATTATAACAGAGAGGAAGTGATTGAGAACAAACAGCAACTCAGCCACAAAGTGGTATGTAACGTATAATCACGGAGCAGTCATCTCCCTGAGATGAGCAGGCGATCATACGCTGTATAGCTGAGAGCGGCCAGCCCAGGTTTGAATCCGGCCCTTTGCCTGCATGTCTTCATGTCTCTCTCTCTCTCCACTTTCCTGTCACTCTTCACTGCATCTATATAATAAAGGCTGAAAAAAGTCAACTAAAAAAATTAGAGAGAAGCAGCACACTAAGGAGCACAGTGTGCAGAGGTCACCAACTACTTGCAGAGTCAGTCACTACAGACATCTAAACCTCATGTAGCCTTCAGATTATGTCAAGAACAGCGTGTAGAGAGCTTTGTGGAATGGGTTTCCAAGCAGCTGCATCCAAGCCTGACATCACCAAGCACAATGCTTCATTACAGCGGTGCCACTGGACTCAAGAGCAGTGGAGAAGTGTGCTTTGGAGTTATGAATTACACTTCTACTTCTGGTGATCCGGCGGACGAGTTTGTCTGACTGCACTGTGCCAAGTGTAAAGTTTGGTGGAGGGGAGGTGGGTAATGATGTGGCGCTGTTTTTCAGGAGTTGGGCTTGGCAGTTTGGTTCCAGCTTAGGAAACCAAGACATGTTGGACAATTTCATGTGCACAACTCTGTAGGAAGAGCTTGGGTATGGGCCCTTCCTGTTCCAACACCAGCGCACAAAGTAAGATCCATGGATTAGAGAGTTTGGTGTTAAAGAACTTGGCGGCCTACACAGAGTCCTGACTCGAACTCGATAGAACACTTTTGGGATGAAATTGTGAATTTGACTGTGAGCCAGCATCTCGTTCAACATTAGTGTCTCACAAAAGAAAAAATGGATGTCACTGAAGTTCATATGTGTGTGTGAAGGCAGACGAGTGAATACTTATGGCAATATCTATCTATCTATCTATCTATCTATCTATCTATCTATCTATCTATCTATCTATCTATCTATCTATCTATATATATATATATATATATATATATATATATATACACATATATATATATATTACATCTGTTCACAGTTCAGTAAATGTGATTGTCCAGAAGGCAGCAGGATAGTTTCCACCAAATGTGCTGATTTTATATCACAGTTAAAATTCGTAACCATTATTACCAGAAGCCCTTGTACCATTAAAAAATGTAAAAGTTAGTTATGAAATACATGGCAAGTACAAAAGCAATTTTTTTCAACTGGTTACAGATTTTTAAAAATGATGTATCAGTCAGCTGTAAATCCATGGAACATTAATTTGAGGTCTCTCTGTTGCACTGAAGGTTTACCGGGTTCTTTACTTTCTGGATAAGTTTTATGACCCCACAGCCCATGAGACTCATTCAGACTCTTTCTTTACTGTAGGTAACACTGTGTGGGTGGAAGAGAGCTTCCACTTAGAATTCAATCAACAAACACAAATAAATAACCAACGGAAAGGTCTGTTTTTTCAATCTTTGTTCCTCTTCATTTCATTATGATTAATTGTTTAATACTAATTAAAATAAAGCTAAAAGTGTAGATTCAATAATTATCACCCTGTTATATTTCATAACAGATAAACGTGTGGGTTTGTCACCTCTGAAATAATGCAGCTCAGCTTGTCAGTGGCAGAAAGCTGTCAAAATAATTAGCTTATGCAAATGGGAGCTTAGAACCTGAGGAAGCCACCTCTGCAGAAATAATAAACCTGTGTGTTTTGTATCTAGAGGCATAGCAGTAGCATGACATAGCAAATGATGGAGGGATGAGCGCTAACGCTGCTCATGCTGCTTACCACACGTTTGTATTGGCATAGCTAATTAAGCATAATTGAGTGCTTTCTACTATCCCTTCTCCGGAGGCCCATATCTACCCTCTGTTGTATTTATGCAAAGGTTATTTGGAGACAAAAACAATCCAATTACACGTAGAGTACTGGCTTTGCAAAAAATGCAACAAGGACTTGGTCACAGGCCCTCAAAACATCTTGCTCTATAATAAAACCAACAGTCTTTGACTTTAACATGTGGTCAAATGCCAAGAAAATTTAGTCCCTTAAGATCTGTCAACCAAAAAAAAAAACTTTGAACATGAACTTAAGCTTTGAACCGCAGTTCACTCGAGCATCCTTGCAATGCCAAAGTATTTTAGTGCTATTTTACTTTTTTGCACACCCTAAGTTTAATCACAAACCATCAAAAAAGGAAAGACAAAGACATCAGAAATCACCATGCACCCCTGGACTCATTTAGTTCTAACTATGAAATACGATAAATTTCTAATACACGTTCACACATGCAAGATACAGACGCTGGCTAAGATTTAAACACACATTCAGTCATTAACAAAGCCATCATATTCCCCATCATGCCAAAACCATGTTAAGACCATATAAGAGGGCTCTGTGATCATTATGAGATGACACTGCCAATTACCAATACAGCATTTCCGTTTTGTCTGTAAGAGGCAATAGAGGGATTAACTTCAGGACTCTCTGCCTCTCCTCTTCCCTCTCATGAAGCAGGCTATGTTTACTGACTAATCTCTTTTCTTGCTTTAACCATAAATGTGATTACCACTACACAAGAGATAATAAAACCCCATATCTTAGCAGTACCAAAGAGCATGAATTAAAACCTAAGCTGTAGCCTTGAGGAATATCTAAACCAAATAAAATCCACAGCATAAGAACTATTTCATGTTGGGTGCATACAGCCCCCTGCTGGCAAACACTACTCACTATTTAGCCAAATCCAACACAACAAGCTCCATGATCATCTTCTGTTGAATATGAGCAACAGGTATGCAGACACTTTCCAAAGGTATGTTCTAGTGTCACTGTTCCAAAGTCAGTCCTTTACTTGCTCCGATTTACAGACATGAGGGAATCTCAAATGTGTGTTTCAGCAGATTACACATGATGCACTCACATATGAGTCTCACTGTTACTTTGATTCTTACTGTCACCTCCGCCAACTCTTTAAGGAGAGGAAAACCTGCCTTTAATTGTCAATGAAGTTAAGTGTTTGTGCATTAACCAAATATTTAAATTGGTTCATAAAATGTAAAAAAAAACACACACACACACACACACATAGGCGATGAAACTACACGTTGAGATTTTTACATAAAGAGCAACATGACTAATGCTTTTACGCATGCGGCTCACTCCTGGTGTCTGTTTGATTGTGGATAAGAAATGAAAGGCAGCTCAATGTGATTCACCACTGAGCAAGTTGGAAATGGAGAGGACCACGCGACCTTCAAAGAGCAAATTAAAAAAAAAAGACAGAGAGAGAGAGAGAGAGAGGATATATAGATATAGACCGATTCAGTCGCAATGGCATCCACTGAACACTTTTCAAATACCGACGAATAAGTTCAGATGAAAGCTTGGACAAAGTCAACCTCATGGAATATATTAGGAGAAAAGGCTGATACTTTTCATGAAACCGCGGAGGACTCTACATGAATCCGCTATTAAAAGCGGGGTTGAAATGCAGCATGTTAGTGACGGGACATATTAAATGGTTAAAGGTCTGAGGGAGATCACAGAGATTATTGCAAAATTGTTTGATTTAAGGGGAAGAAACGAGACGTGACACGTGGTGAAGGGGGCCAAACGCCTCGTTGATTTGTCAGTTTCGCCTACCTGATATTTCCTGATGAGGTACATTGACGAGGCTGAATCCTTTCGCGTTATAAGCTTGTCTAACCTCGCTACAGCTCCGCGCTTTGCTTTCACCACCGGATGACAGGGACAGCACCGACAGAGTACATAAGGCGACTTGCAGTCTCCACATCGCATACATCAGTGAAATCCTTGATAATGTTTCACAGAGAAATAAGAGATCCGATAGAATAAGAGAAATCCCAAAAAACAAAGCCTGATTGAACGATTTCTCCAGTCTGCGCGTTCAGATTTTCATTTTTTTTAAAAGAGAGAGAGGGAGAGAGACTCCTCACTTTAGATGCTGGTGCTTCCACCTCATTTTCACCTCGAAAAAGAAAAGAAATAGCCAACGAGTCAGATCGGTCCCAGTTTGAACAAAATCCTCGTGAAGAAGATACCTGGTGCTCAGTGTGCCAACAACTTCTCCAGCGCACGCACACACCGCTGCCCCGTGTTTATGTCAGTGTGAGGAAAGCGAAATGCAACGGAGACGCACGCTGCACAGCGAGCAGAGCGCACAGGGCAGGGCAAAACATGGAGTGGAGTGGCTGCTGTCCTCTGCCATTTATGCATTCTCGGTAACGCACACTATCGCACATTAGAGTGGAGACACATGTTGGAGACGCGGGGAGTGTGGGCGGAGTACAACGACACACTGGCCACACACTTGAGGTTATTTCCTTTTAATGTCATCAATCTGATGTTGGCGCACGAAATAGAAGAACCCTCTGTGACCATTCCGTGTCTTTTAATGAATCCAATCGATGGGAGTAATAAGAAGGAAGGCTAGAAAACTCATCGAAAAGATAAGGCACAATATGATCTTAGCAGCTATGAACATTTGTAACGCACCAAATCCTGTTTGGAGCACTTCAGAGGACTGCGCGTTAACTTACTGTAATTTCCTGGACACATAACCCCAACACGACCTTTGGTTAATGGTATATCAAGTATTCATGAAATGCAATGTTTCAGGCAACAAAACAAATACTAGTGGCACAAACAGCCACAACATTTGTCAAATATATAATAGAGCACATCACACATTTTATCTCTAACCTTTTTTTCCCTTAGTTTAAGATGATGCTTTAAGTCAGGACTGTTTGTCTGTCTTATATTCACGAAGATGATTTGACCCAATTTAAATGCACTACCCACAAATGGCAACATTGAGCTGACTTATCACACTATAGCATCAAAGTGATTTCCAACATATTTTAACAATGAGGTAACTTTGTTAGACGAGGAGGGAAAAGTTTTACAGTTATAATGAAGAAAATCTGCGAGGAAAAGTATCTCGTTATATTGTGAAATATTTCCTCCTGAGAGTAAAAAACAAAAAAAAAGTAGAGTGAATCTCATAATATTCAGTATAAACACTCCCTCGGTGTGTTTTTGTGTTTCGGGAGCTGCTTGCTTGTTAAAATCAGCTTTAAAATACACCGCATAAGTGCAATTAGACATAACTCAGGGCTGTGAAATGTAAAGGAGAAAACCAGGAAAGCAGGGTTGCACTAGACCATAGAAAGCATAAAAATTTGAGAGAATGATCGTGTCTTAATTCGTTTGGGGCTAATGCAACATGAAATTATGCATTTACTAAGCAATGTAGATGGACTCATCATTTCAGACTGTGAATACTAAGGGATGCTCTCTGCGATGTTTGATTATCGCTTCAGGATGTACAGAAAGATCCATCTGCCCCAGTGAAAAGTCTACCTCATTTTTAATATTAGATTATTAGGATCTTTGCGCCCTGAAGCAACAGGGCAGCCCAGTATCTTTCAGTAACAGGCAGGCACATTTTTTCTTGCAAATACAAAATGCATGGTCTTAAAAATATTTCAGACTTCAGTTGTAGTAAGGACTGATCATTTAAAACTATTAGTCTGGTTTGAAGATAAATATTCAGTTGCGGATATATTTCTCAGCTCATTTGAAATCAGCTCCCTTTATCCACACCTTTGCTCTGAATCCGTTGCACGTCCCTTGAAGTTACATAACACAATAATCCTGAGTAATAAACATCCTGTAAATAATCAAGCTTTATTGAATTTTTGTTGATACTGGAATGAAGGTGTGTCAGATTAGCCTGCACGCCAATGGAATTGCTGTGTACTCAGCTAATGCTGGTAATGATTAAATACTGAGCAGGTCAGATTTGGATGTTAGTCAGGCACTTTGATATTTTACAGAATAACACGATACTACATTAGCTACTGCAGAAATTATTAAATGTGCAAATTTGAAGGGAAAAACTGAACTAGGGTGAACTTTAACCATAGTCTGCAGAGGTCAGCCAAGCATTCACAGTAAAATAAGGAGCATCAATTTCTGCCTAAAAGTCTTTTAACTGAAGCAAATACAGAGTAAAATCTGTACAGTCGTACATGACTGAACATCCAGATGTTTTTAACAGCTGATGGACCTCCTCCTATAGGTCGGTGTATGTCATCATGCTCTTAATCTCTATGTGTTGGTCAAAATACCCAGCAGGCTCATTGGCAGATACAGGGGAATGGGTCTAAATGAGAGCTAGCTTTTAGCTAATCTCTGTTACCTAAATTAGTAGATGATTACAGTATCTATAGCTGTAACATCCACAGGCATAACAGCCCTGTGAGAGCTGTTGTCTCTCTCTCTCTCTCTCTCTCTCTCTCTCTCTCTCTCTCTCTCTCTCTCTCTCACCCACACACACACACACACACACACACACACACACACACACACACACACACATTACAGTATGAGTGCATATTTTTAACATATAAACGGTAGCAATGTTTCAGCCCTTTTACAAAAACAGAACTTTTTCTTTTGGGCCTGGAGTTCAGCAGAGTCACTGACAGCACTGCTCAGATCCAAAGTCCTGGTGGTATGCTCGCCATGTTCTCTTCTCATCACTTTTTTGTTTTTATACTTTGGCTTGCTAAACATATTTTATAATGCCTCTGCACCAACAAACTGCTCCTTTAGACACTTGCCGAAAAACAAATTGTTGCATAGCTGATGTCAGCAGGTTCGCAGGCAAAAACAAGGTCAGGAAGTACAAGTAATATATTTCCCAGCATGCCCATCTTCCATCAAAACCTTTCAGAAAAAGGGTGCCTGCTTTAATCAATGGAGGGTAAAGGACTGAATAAATATTTGCAGAGCTAACATTTGTATAGCCTGTTCACTTTAACGTAATTATGTAAATATGTGCTTTCCGTGTAATGTTGAGGGGCCCATTGGCTAGTGCTGTCGAGTGGTCCTATCTGAGCTTTAAGATCATGGGACATTCCTCCTGTTACCCCATTAGACATAATGCCTGTGGTAACAGTGGCGTGCAATATTGCAAATTTAGGTATTATATTCTCATCTCCAACAAAAGCAATTTATTGAACACACTTCAGTGGACTACACACTGTACTGAACCTAGATGATAGAAAGTATCAATCCTATCACGCTGGTACTGATCCGATAGCAAACCACTGTTGATAGCGATACCATCAATATTTGGATTGATCCGCCCACCTCTAGTAACGGCCATGGAGATTCAAAGCAAGACAAAATATTGGATTCAAAACTCAAGTTGAGATTAAAAAAAAAACTATTTCCTAAATCCACCAATTAGCTAGCTGTCCATCCGTGAAACAGCACTCTCAGCATTTTGCAGAAAAGCTCACTCTCCAGATCAGAAGCCAAACTGAAAATGTGCTAAAGACGTTTCTTGTTGGTTTTGCTGTGGCTGTGAAATATGACTGGCTGATATAGACAGGAGACCCTTCATGCATTACAGGCATCACCACTGTTTCTCCTCGCAAAGTGTTTACTCTGTGTATGCAAGCATGCACACACCATAACAAGCTAACAAGTGAGTGTGACAGCTGCAGAAAGGATGAAAGGGCGAAGAGCAACATACGTGTTTGAACATGTACATTATTAAGCTGGATATTTTGCCACCAAATTCACATTCAGTTAAACTTTATTTTCACACGAAATCTGTAGATAGGCTGTGACCATCCCCTCCCCTTGACCCTGAAATGAATAAGTTGGAGAGAATGGGTGGATAGATGGATGGATAAAATCTGTACATCAGCATATATTACTCTGCTGCCTGCCAGATACACAAATAAAATGATCTCCCTGAGAAAATAACATTTCTTATTAAAAACGAGTCATTTCCTGCTCTGAATTGCTTTTAAAAGAGATGTGGGGCGCATCATCATACCTAGCCACTAAAACAGTAAAGCAGTATAGCTGCAAAATGTTGAGTAAAAAAAAGTAAAATCTGACGTCACCATTGAGGGAATTCTGTCACGTGTAAAAATGATTGCTGTTGGAAAATTACAAGGACTCCAAAAAGAAAAGATCTTCACTGACCTAAATGAGCCACAATATATTAGTTCTCTGTGTCAGCGCTGGACATTATCCTGACACCGCCGAATAAGACAGACTCGGCCATTTGTGAGATCTAAATGAAATGGAAAATGAAATTAATTTTCTTTCATTCTGTTCCTTTTATACAAGGCTTTTGTTTCATAAGTTTAAGAAGTAAATCAGTTTTTGTCTGCAGAATATTGTAAAAAGTGACTGTGACTGAAAAAGGAAACATCTGGTGACCATTCAGGAACTTCTCTCACAACTGTGAGTAAATGAATTTCTGTCTTAATTGCATTTCACTACACGCCACCCATTTGGGAAGTTCATGCTTTAAATAGTAGAAATCCGATAAATATAAACACCAATATAGACATGGTAGGCTGACATGTGGTTATACTTCCAGTGAGCTGACTCTGGCATTACAAATATTCATCAGTGAGAATTTTATAAATTTGTTGCTGCTGACAACATTGGTCAATGGGTCTAAAGTCTAAGCTATTATAATATAATATGATATAACATAACTCATCAAAATTGTGTGATTTTATCAGCTTTTTGTTCAAACGATCAGCCCACCTTAGATCATGCTAAAGTGTTTTATCTTCAGCCTAAATTCAGTTATCGATTCTATTTAGCAAGAATTTGCCAGTTAGCCATAAACCAAGTCCTCCGTGTTCACCGTGGGTTTCCTCCGCACAGCACTCTAATGCCCCTACTCACGTAATAAGTCCTTGTTAATGATGCCTAAAGACGATGGCCAGAAGGTGATCCTGGTAGTGGATCGATAACTCACCACGAGGAGTCAGCCCATAGTTCATCGTGCACCACAGGGAAAACTGAGCTTTCCCTCTCCAGGCGTACTGTTTCATACTAGAGTGTTCATTTCAGAAATTTGATTTCCCCTTTTCACGAGATATGAAAGGTTTTTTATTTTTTATTTCTTTATGTGTAAATCCATCAATCCTGACTTAAACAGTTGCACTGACTGACATACTTAAAGGCAGATAAACCAATCAATCAGAATCAATAGACAGAGAATCTACCCATAAGCCAGCTAGAAGAAAAACGGACTGACACGATCATTTATACTGTGTGTGTTATATATGCCTCACTGATGGATCTCCACGCATCCCACAGTAAAAAGAAATATTCAAATCATCCATAAAGGTCAAAGATTAAATGGGGCAAACCCCACTTGTTCATTTTC